ATTTTTTTTCACTATCTGCCACTGTGTGTAAGAGAATACATCTTAATCTGAATTATACCAATATTGATAAATTTTCATCAAGAAACCATTTTCTGAGCTCAACTTTATTAAGCTAATTTATTGTAAATGATTTTTCAATACAGTATATTTCATTTTCTTCCATTTTCCTTTTACTTAAATTATTTTCATGGGTACAAATTCTTTTTTATATACATTTTACACAACAGATTTATTTCATTGACCATTTTATGTTCTTATTACATTTTGTTGATTATGTTTTTAGGTTTTGACGTTAGTAATTTTCTTTTGAGATTGTTAGGTGTACTAGTCTTCTTGGATCAAATGTTGTGGATCAAGAAATTTTATTTACGTTGACTATTTTTATCAATAATCCTCATTTGGAATTGGATGAGACTACTTATATGTATTTCTCAGTTAATCCATGATAAAATTATGGTCAATTCTTCTTAGGTATGCAAGGATTGATCTGTTGTTCAGATTGCTATGTTGCAGAGGGCGACAAACTAGAACCCCACAGATAAATCTGACCTGATGCCTGTTTTTGTAGGGCTGTGAGCAAAAAACGTTTTTAACAGATGAATATTTATAATCTGTTTCATGATAGGGAATGTAAACTGTGAGCCCCAATTAAGAAAAATGTTGCCTTCTACCCCCAAATAATTTCATTCTTATTAATAGATCTGTATTACAAAAACTGTACTCAGTTACTATTATTGTATTTTGAATTTTGCCGATAAGATTTTGTGGAATTTTTTGTTGATGTTGTTATATAAATATTACATAGTGTTCTGGATTTTGCCTCTTGGCCCCCACACCCTAAAATAGTTACTGTCTGGCCCTTTACAGAAAGTGTTTGCCAACCCTGCTCTGTTGTATTGCTAATCTGATTCTTCTGAACACTTAAACTCTCCCTACCCCACAGTCTGCTCCTTTGGAGTTACAAGGAGCAAATGGGGAGTGTGTTCTTAGGGTCCAGTTGTCACATCAAATGTCCAGCTTCAGATGGGAAAATAGTAAGTTGGGTGAGTCCAGTCATATTGTTCAGCGAAGAGAGAGAGAGCTCTTCAAACTGTAATGCATTGTCAAATAAAAATACAAATTGATGTAAGAGTTTTCTGTAAAAGTCCATTTCCCTTTTTTTCTTATTGAAGTATGAGTCTGACATGTTGGAAAATCAAAAGTATCATTGCTTTCAAAGCATCAACATTTGAGAGATAAAGAGTGTTTTGAAATTTGGGAGAACTGAAAGTCCTTTTACTTTTTCCTACTGAAGTTAGCTCACTTTTCTTTCCTTTAACAGATGAGGAAAAAGAAAATAATAGAGCATCCAAGCCCCACTCCACTCCTGCTACTCTGCAATGGTAAGTTCCATTTTTAGCAAGTTCTCTCTTGATAGGATGCTCATATAACGATATCTTTCTACCGAAAGGACAGCATATTACTTGGCTGTTTTGTATTGTCATAATAACTTGACATCCAATAGCCTACCTGCAATCTATTTAATTTGCAGGTATGTGTAAAATGCTCAACTTGGATCTACCTTGGAGATTTGAATTTTCATAATTATTTTACTCTGGGGTAGATTTTTTCCCCCATCATCGAAACACCAGCAAGGACTAGATTCCACATGGATGCCATTAATTGATTTTAATGGAATCCATTGCTTTAGTTAATAATGTTGTGGCACACTATAGAGAAACATAGGTATGTTCACCCCGAACAATGAGTCCTTAATGAATTAACAATTATTTGCAACTATACTACAATTATTTTAACATTAATAACATTAATAAGAGTTATCTACAATTATTTTAACATTATAACATTAATAAGAATTATCTACTAGAGTGGCTTTCTTGTTAATGTTTGGAATTCCTGGACTTGAGGTCACATTTAATGATGTTGTTTAAGTGGTTGCACTCACGTCTGATATTTACAGGTAAATTCTCCTGTAAGAGCTTTACGTGGAAATCATGTTGTTGCTGTGTCACCACAGCTGTCAATGCCCATGATTCGCCCCTCGGGGGATCTTGTCCATTAAAGGCTATTACTCCCCTCACAGGGCAGCCCAGCAAACCTGAAGGAATTAAGGAACAAAGGGGAGGGAAAGAGAAGTGGGGCGGGGACAGGAATTACAATCTGTTTTGTGCCAGCCTCCTTTCCGCCGGGCGTTTTGTACACGTGCCTCCGTTCATTCTCACCGTTCTATGAAGCTGGTATTGGTATGCCCATTTTACAGAGGAGGAAAACAAAGCTTAGACAGTTAAATCATTTGCCTGAATATAAACATGGCCATGAAGTGGCCGAGGCAGGCACCTGGCTGAATCTCTTTAACTGCACAGCCATGCTTTGGAAGAAGGGAAGAAACAAAATCAGGAAGGGTGGAGGAAAGAGGAACAGATCAGAAAAGGAAGCAGATGGGCTTTAATGAGCAAATCGTTTTAGATTCTTGAGTCTAATCCAGCCACAGGTGAGAGGAAAATAGCATTGGGAGAAAGCATTCAGGAACGTAACTCAATCCTGTCTAACAGGAGTCTCAACAGTCAACTCCTTTTGCTCTAAGGACAGCAAAGGTGGCTTTCAAGAGCTCTGTTTCCAGCCCTTTGGCTTGTTTCCATCTGTTTGTCCCTGTATTCTTTTTCTCATTGCATGGGCTGCTTTTTGCTTTGTTTAAAATTCTACTCTACTTCCCTGGTCAAATCTCCCCCTTCACCCTTCCCTCCAAACTAGGGACGCACAAGTTCCCATAATGCCAGGACATCAAATGAGGGAGATATTAACGTAAAGGAGTTTGGGAGTAGGAGTTTCAAGAAATGCAAGGAATCAACAGACACGCTTGCTTTCGTAGCCTGAACATGTTGTCCATTTCAGAATAAAAAACCGGAGAGGACTAGGAGAAAACCACCTTGTTCATGTCCAGTTTTCTGATTCTCTGACATCTGCCTGGCGACAGTGAGGCTGTAGACAGTGCGGTCTCTGCAGTCAGACTGCCAGGAATTAGCTCCCAGCTCTGCTACTTTCTAGCTGTGTAACCTTGGGTAAGGTCCTTAACCCCTCTGTGCCTCACTTGACTCACCTGTAAAATGGGCGTAGCAGTAGTATCTACCTCATAGGGGTCATGAAGAGGAAATGAGTTAATTATGTATAAAGTGCTTGAACAATTTGTGGCGTAGAGCAGTGCTGGGTAAATCTTCGCAGCTGACGGTCGCTCCTTCTGAGTCCCGCAGGATGTCTGGAGTAGAGCTTCGCTCCTTCCTGCGGTGTGCACAGTCAGTTCTTCTACGGTACCTCATTCTATGCAAAATACCTGTTTTTCTAAATTAAGGGTCACATCATTCCACAAGAAATTTCATCCTACAATTCATAGAGTTAGGCAGCGAATTCTTTTTTTTTTATGACATATCGGCCTTCAAGCCCAAATCAGATTTGAAAAAATATAAATGTTAGCCTTAGTATTACCCAAAGGCATCAAGTGTTCAAACATCAAATTGTTGTTCAGTTCTGTGTACATTATATTTTTAAGATAGAATTTAATCACTGACTCATTCAAAAAGTGTTTACTGAGCGCCTGCTATTTGCTAGGCCTGTTCTGGGCTCTGGGAATGCAGTGGTGGGTAAGATAGATGAAGAATAGAGGCTGATGAGGCCTCAGCAATCACGCTGGGAGTTTTGAAGTGGGACGGCCCTTCACAGATGACCAGAAATGAGGCAATGGCGGCCTTTACTCCCCCGCCTCACCCAGGCACTGGATGTAAGTTACCGCCGACATGTTCCGCTGAGGGCAGCTCCCCGGGAGGATCCGCCTCAGGAGCCAACCTCCCAGCCGGGGGGAAGGACGCCTCAGTCTTGAAGGATAACCTGGGCACACACCACAGCACCTGCTACTCTCTCCAGAGCTCGTTCGAGGAACTACAGAAGGCGGCCTGCGTGGTCGGAGCATAGGAGCAAGGAGGANTTTCTTTATACAAATTAAAAATTCACATATATAATTTCTTTTTACACAAAAAAGTATATGCATTGTGTTGTGGCTTGCTCTTTTCACTTAATGCAAAACCCTGGAATGTTCCATATCAGTAAGAACATAGAAGAGAACATCTTCATTCTTTTCTTGGTTTTAATCCTTTTGCACAGCTGTATAGTATTCCATTGTGAGCATGTATCATAATTTAGTGAACACTGGGCTGTCTCTAAATCTTGACTGTTCCAGACAAGCTATAATGAAGAACTTTGTGTATGGCTTTTCTCCATGTGTCCAGGTGTAGCTGTAGATTGTGGGATTGCTGGATAAAGGGCGTGAAGGATTTCAGTAGATTCTGCCAGATGACCTTCCATATGGGAAGGCACCAGCTCGTACTCCCCCTGCAAGAGATGAGGGCGCCTGTTTTCCACAACTTCACAGTGGGGCTGTGTGGTCGTGGTTTGGGTTTTCACCAATCCGATGAGTGAGAAATGGTATTTTAGTGTAATTTCCAGCCTTACTGATTGAGATTCACCATCTTTTCACATTTCAGGAACATTTGTATTTTTTCCCATCAACTGTGTGTCATGTGCTTTGCGTATTTTTTTCTCCTGGTTCTTGGTGTGTTTTCCTCCTGGTTTTAGTGGAGCTCTTTCTGTGGTGGGGAGATGAGGCCACTCTCCGTGGGATGATCGAAATTTTCCCAAGTGGGTCATTCTCTTTATACTTATGGCATGTTTTTCTCCCACATAGAAGCTTTGGTTTATTTAGGTAGTAAAATGTATCACTATTTTCTCTTATGACTTTGGGTTTTATATCAAAGTTAGAAAGGCCCTTTCCTTCTCCAGGGCTATGAAGGAATGCACCCAGAAGAGGTGGAAGGAAGCAGGTGTGGGGCCCCATCAAAGCAAAGCTGCCAACAGCACAGTTTTATTTGGGACGTAGCCCTGTTCCCACGGGGAGAAGGGTTTGCTGCCAGGGGCCGGTGCCCACTGCCAAAGGCCTGAGCCCAGGCACCCTGATCATCAGCTGGTGCCCTTTGCAGGGGCTGGGAAGGAGGTAGATGAGGGAAAATGAAATGTTTGGCAGCCCCTTGCTCCCAACAGGTGAGGTCTGTCCAGGTGCAGCCAAGATAGTATAATGAAAGGAAATAGAATTAAAACTTTGAAGTGAAACTCAAGACTTGCATAAACTTGAACCTTTTCTGGGATTTGAAAAGAAGTAATTAATTTAGAAACTTTCTCCCTCATACTAAGCTCTGCCACACTGGCTACAGGCAGGAAGCGTTCTAGAAGAAGTTTCCCAAATATTGCGAATCCAATCAGCATAGAGGCAGAAAAGAAATGATTAGGCAGATAATATGTTCCCTGAATTCTCCAGTCCAGTGCTCCAGGTTTGAAGAGAGAGTGAGGCTTATCAACGTTTGGGGTCGGGGAGGTCCCTCCACTGATGCCACCCACTGACTGTGTGACTTCAGACAAATCCTTTTACTTCTCTCAGTCTCAGTTTCTTCCTCTGTAAAAGAGGATAATAATTAGGACTAACATTGATTAAGCACTAATTATACATCAAGCACCTTATTTGATGTTTCACATGCGTTCAATCGTTCACTGTCTCCGGCAGCTGTGAAAATTAAATGCAATAACGTAAAGAGCTTTGCATAGCACCAAGCCCTCAATAAATGCTCCCGGCAGTATTGTTACTTTCTATGCTGACTGAAATCAGATGCATAGGCTCAGCATGTGATCATGGTGCTATCTTAGCCGTTCATTCATTCCACCAATATTCCACACAGCTCCCACTGTGTGTGTGGATGCTGGAGACAAAATGGTGAGCGTGGTCTGTGCCCTACAGAGCTTATAAACAAGCAAGGCAGATACACTGGTCAGTGAGCAGAGACCACACCCTGCGACAAGGACTTTGTTAGGGACTAGCCAGGGTGCTGTGGGAGCACAGGGTAGCAGCCAGTAACCCTGTCCCAGAAACTAGGCTTGCCAAATGTAGCCCCATGGGTAGGATGGGGACCCAGGCACACCGTCTCTCCAGAGTGACAACTATTATAGTTATAGGGAGCACTTAGATAGTAGGTACCTTGTGCCAGGTGGGGTTCAGTTAATCCTCACAGTATGTGCTTGGCCTTGTTATTACCTCTAATATACAGATACAGAAATTAAGGCACCGACAGGTCATTCCAGGTCACACAGCGAGCAAGTGGCAGAGCCAAGATTCAAGCCTGGAAATTTGGCCCCAGAGTTTACATGGGGAGATGGACCCAGAGAGGGGAGCAGAGCCGCTCACCACTGGGAACTGGACTGAGATTCCCTGAGGTGTGTGAGGAGCCGTGACTGCAAAGTGGGAGCAGAGCAGAGCGGCATGGAGAAGACCAGGCAGCGGGCGGCGTCC